AAGAAGAAGAAGAAGAAGAAGAAAACAACAACAAAAATCTTTGAATAGAATATTACTGAGTATCTTTTTATAGCATTTATTATTGACAGACAGATATGAAAGAATATAATAGTAACGAACCTGGGTCTCTAGAAAACAAGTGTCCCCAGTGTATTGGATTTTCGGGTCTTGTCATGCCAACAGAAAAACATCCAGTAAAACTCTCCGTTCTAGCTTTTGGGTTGTCAACAGTCAATACATAGATGGTACAACTGCTGAGGTACAATGACTTGGATGTCAAATGGACGCACCTAATGCGATCGGTAATCAAAAAAGCTTTCAAAAAATATATGAAGCGAAGAAGCAACATGTGATACGGTGTGGTGTGGTGTGTTGCGTTGTGGTGTGCTGTGGTGTGGTGTGGTGTGGTGTGATGTGGTGTGGTGTGTGTGGTGTGGTGTGGTGTGGTGTGGTGTGGTGTGGTGTGGTGTGGTGTGGTGTGGTGTGGTGTTACTTACTTGTCATCTTCATTAAAGACAGTTGGTTTTTCATCCGATAGAAGTTCCTTCCATTCGTAGTAGCGCCATTTACTCATGTAAATTGATTCATGATCATCCCATCGCTTCAGGTCTACTTTGCAAGGGTTATCGTATGAACAGTACAAATGAAAAGTATAATTACCGCTTAATGGAACCTGAAAAAAACGATTGGTATTTAAATATAATATATCTTGGTGTGAGCAACCGCTTTGATATTCCTCTTGTAATATTCAAGAGGTATTTTTTAAATATTAATTTATACTTTACATATAAAGTAAATATAAACTTTATACATTTAACATATACCTTATTTATTACATTTACCAAATTACAAGCACGCCCTCTCTTCGAGGCTTAAGTATACATTTAATATATCCTTTATATGGGCAATTCACCTTCAAAAATGTGGTAAAGACTTCTTTATAATCCTCGTCAATTTCAAAAGGCGAAATCAGAGTCGGGAGGTTAGTCTGTACAGCTTTGTTGCTATCATCATACCAGAGTTCACGGACTACTCCTTTAATGTCATCTCTCGAATCTAAAGGACAAGAAAACGTTTTATAGAAAATGTTCTGTTTTTTTACCAACCCTTCTCTATTGGCAGTAATAAACATATTACATATTATCTTTAGTAAAATCAGCTATGCAAAGTGGCTTAGCCAAGATAATCGACTGTTTTTTGTTTATTAGTAACACTGTAACGAAGTCTACATTAAATTGGAGATATTTAGAGAACCTTATTCTCAATGGAATGACAAATATGGTATTGAAATTAGAAAACATTGAACCCAAAGGTCTGAATTTTCCGTTCCTAAAATTTGGAAATATTGGATATTTAGAAGTCCGAAATGGTTGGATCAGGGTCGTGTTTGTAGGTATATAGGCGGTAGGTTTTTCCTGTGTTTTACCTATTTTAGCTATTTAGCTATTTATTTTTATTTATTTTTTATATGAATTCAGGTATGTAGTTAGGAAAGTAGGAAAGTATGAAAGTAGTAAAGTAGGTGGGAGAAGGGTATGAAGGGAGGAAAGGAGAGATGGAAGAAAGGACGCACGGACGGACGCACGAACGGAAGGAAGGAAGGAAGGAAGGAAGGAAGGAAGGAAGGAAGGAAGGGATAAAAGGAATGAAGGATGAACGGAAGGAATTCGAGTATACAGTATTTAAAGTAAATAAACTTACTGTAAGCGATGACAGAGATTTCGCAGAATTTTCCATGGCCTATCATTCTCGTAATAGAAACCTCATTACCCTTAGTCAAGTACTTGCACTTGAAACGGTACCGGGAGATATTTTTTATTTTTCCAGAGTCAGTTCGATCCATTTTGAAGTCAAAACATAATCTAGTGTGGTCCTTTTCTAGTACAAATATTTCTAAAGAATCTGATTCTTGATCGAATCGAACTTCATGAACAAACATCGTCCGAGAAAGCGTTATTTTCAACCACCAAATCATCTGGGGAAATAAATAATAATATCAAATTAATGATATTTATTACGTTGTTAAATGTCACAAAGGTCTATTTATTTGTACTTGTGTCTAGCACATCCCCTATGTTACGTCTGTGTAGTCAAACGATACGCCAAAGATCAGCCTTACATCCACACAAATTTTCTTCGTAGACAAAATGTTCTTAAATTACATGACGCCCAAAACGTAGTTTTAGATAAAGACAACTTTCATTTTGTAGCCACACGTTAGTCACCTTGGGTTAAACGTTTTCCAGACCGCGGAGGGTTTAACTCAGGTATTTTATTTATTCGTCCTGCGTTTAGTATCATTTGCTATTTTGCTCTTGAAAATTAGTGCCGTTTTCACTCACGTAAGCAGGCAGTCATATTTTGGTGTAGCAAACATTAGAACTTTCTGCACAATGTTTGAATGCTAATAGAACATTAGAAACTTTCTGCACAGAGTTTGAATGAAATTAGAGTTCAATTTCCCAATGATATATATATTGTTTTGGTACACCAACATGGCCGCTGTGACGTCACGTGAAAACACGCTCTATACTTGCTTTCTCACCGCCGTTTTGTAGTAAAAGCAGGTGTAAGGTGAGCCATCAACAGCTAGGGATGCCAAGGATGAATTTACTAAAGATGAAGTAGCTGGGCGTCCCCTTGCGACGTCAACTTTAAAAGGAAATAACGAAACCAAAATAAAATAAAGGTGCATAATTTACAGAATGGCGCAAATGAAATTCGAATTCAAGATCAGAATTTTTACCTCCGAAAGACGCAGCCACCGGGGGTGGTTGGCTCATTTCCAATAGAGCCCATTTTAGGGGCCATCCCCCCCCCCCCCCCCAATTTCTTGCGGTTTGTTTCTCGACCGGACCACCTTTAAGATTCCGTTTTTTCCGCTGCAAGAGTCTCCAAGTAGTGGATACGTCCCTACCTATGCTTGTTCTTTATTTATTACATTTGAGAAAAAAGCCACTTACCTGKAATGCTTTGACAGATGAATCCATGCTTTTCCTCCGAACACTTCTTGTACTCTCTCGCATTCTTTATCAAGTCGAATGCACCACACCGCACATCCAAGTCTTTATGAAACTGAAAACTTTTGTACCACAATTTCAAGTCTACACTGATTTTCCCTGCATTTCCAAACAGCTTTTCTAAGGGGAGAGTTCTCAAGCCGTATAAGTTTTGGTCATCTATCAAGTCACCATATATGCTGCGACATGTTTTACGAGCACTGTTCCATGTCTGGGTGTTCTCTATATTGAATTGAAAGCAAGAATCTTCATGGCGTACCAAGTTAAATAGACAGCCAGGGCTCTTTTCTGAAAACAAAAAAGGATCCGTATATATATATTTAGCATATACCAACTTGTATACTTCCTAAGAACGCGCGCGCTCATTGGTTAATTGGAGGTGAATATTTACGATATTCACCTCTGAATCTCGGAATATTGAGTCGGCAACAAAATGGCATCTGTCGGTAATCGTTTTGCTACAATTTCCGATGAGGAAATTGAAAAAATGAAAGTAAATGCCATTCCTATCATCACTAAAAAGGCAACGAAGTATGGCCTAAAAGTTTTGCTAAACGTTTTGCTGAAAGTTTTGCGTGAATTTGTCACGTAAACTAAAAGTTTCTGTTTGTTTGTTTTTATTGAATTATTGTATATAAAAATAAGTTACTCTGTACACAAGTTGGTATATGCTAAAACAATTATTCGCCTCAGCCTCAGTGAATATGGAGAATATTTACCTCGCCGCTCGAAGACTCGCGTCTCGGTAAATATTCCTCGAYATTTACTTCGCCTTCGGCGAAAAATTGCTAAATATATCTGGTAAGTGTTACAAGTTAACCGAATGTTTGGTCCTTCGATCTTCTTTATCTATTTGACAATATGAACTCTCCGGAAGTTGAAAAATAAATAAATAAACAAACAAACAAACAAACAAACAAACAAACAAACAAACAAATAAATAGATAAATAAAATAAAATATATAAACTAAGAAACAACCGATAAAAATAATAATTGCAGCAACGATACTCATACTGCAATGAGGCAAGCCCCCAAAAAAAACTGAAGAAAAAGAAGGAAAAAAACCGCATACAATGATTTTCGCTTAGTAAAAAGAACGTTTTTAAATAAATCGGCGCGATAAAAAGGTTAATATCTTAAAAAGGATACAAAAAAGAATCCGGACTTAAACAGGAAATGTTGAACAGGGCCCCATTACCAAGTTGTAAATAATAATATACGCATTCGGTGCATTGTGCTTGACTAATAATTCTTTTAAATCAAATGTAATTGAAGCCACAAAGAATACATTTCATGGTATGTTCTCTAATTTACCACGGTATTACTTCATCGCTTAGTTGCTCAAAATTTTACATGTGTACTCACAAGGCTTAGATGAGTCGGTACATAACCAATTTTGACCTGTAAATAAGAAGCGGACAAACCACACACACACACACACACACAAAACATCGGAAATTTGTTGGTTTTTTTTAATTACAAAAAAAGCCTGCGAAAAACTCCGTGCTAAAGCGATTCGTAATTGGTTGGTTAAGACGGCTCTCGACCAATCAGAAAGCGAGAGAAAATTTGAAAATTTATATTTGTGGTAAAAACAATGCTCTTCACCTTTCCTTAAAACAGCTTTGAATTTTTGAATGCCATCAAGTTGACCATCAACGTGAGATAAGATCGCTGTGTTGTCATAGGAGGATGTCCGTAGCTCCTGTGTATCCGAGCTTTTATTTGTAATGACAAAAATAGTGTCCGATGCTTGGGCATCATTCATGCTATAAAAGAACTCCACTGGGAAAGGAGACTCAGAGTAATTTAAGGAAATGATATCATTGTTTCCTGTGGCAGGATACACGAAGTACATCGGTTCGGACAGGTTTCCAGTTGTCTTCCTTGCGGTGAAAGAAAAGTGCATTTTCCAGTCATCTGTTGGAGGTGAGCTTACGACCTTGAAGAACTCGTTTTGAGAAGCATAAAATATGTCGTTATCTAAAATAAACAATAACAATAATTGGGTTTTTAAGGATTGCTAASATATGTAGGAAATCGGTACTACGTGTGCTTGAATGGGCTACTTCGAGGATACGGCGTCCACCTTTAGTCGCAAGGCACTATGGGCGTCTAGGGGGAAATTTATCTTCTTGTAGTAATGACGTGGATTGATATTAACAGCTCACCACAAGAGAATACAACAAAAGATGAATCAAGACGGCACATCGATCACTTTTATCCATAAAAGAAAGACAAATGCACGAAACCCTATATATTTTCCGTCATTTTTGTTTTGTTTTGCACCCTGACAAGATGGGCGCCCTGTCGTCGAAATAGTCAATTATTCCCGAGGGGGTATAGGAGAAATCATTTTTAAAAAAAACCAGAGGCGAACGCGGCTTTGAGCACAAACCTTCCAAGCAGGGTCCATTAATGAACCTTATGTCGTCTATTGCAGTTCGTTCTTCTAAGAYTCCGTGTGATGTTGCTATAATGATGACCTGTTAAACATGACGAGAATCAAAGTTTATATATAAGAAAGAAGTAATTTTTGAGTTGCTTGTACGTATAAAGGTCTTGTGTCCCTTTTTCATTGTGGTCTTGAAATCGGTATTCGGATCCGTCATCATATGTAAAGGATGGTGCCTACTATTGTCAGCGCGCACACTTACTGCGCATCTACATCGAGGGATTCCCGCGGGTTTCAAAAGCAAAACAACCAAAGGTACAGAAAACGTCGCTTCAGGGACAAATTTCAAAGGCCAAGAAAAACAGCAATAACTATATTTTATGTAGGCAAAGATGGATTAAGAAGTAATCTTCAAACATTCAGGTATGTTTGACGAACAATGGTACATTATTATTTTCTAGAAAAGCGGAGTTTCGATCGCCTTGGATCGGTGAATCATAGAAGTTTTTTCGATATTTCCAAACAGATAAGCTTAGTTTATCTTAAAGTTAAATGAAAATTGAAAGCCAATACACATTAAACTAAATATCCACCATTTATTTAGCTTTTCCGGCTAGTATAATTACGTAAAATGAGCTTATATTTGTGTCGTTGAGAATACTTGAAGACCTAATACTGTCTTTCACTCGCTAAAAAAATTTTCAAGAACGTTTACAAAAACCAACTCAATTACTGACAAAAAAATATTTGATTTATCAAATCAGTCTTTTGTTCTCCGTGAARTTGAAATGAATGTACGTTTAGATTTTTCGAAAACCTTTTCGGCCTAAAGTTTTGTTTTGCTGCGTGAAACATTCATAAGACGTCCACTTTATATTATTCAACTTCGACAAAATATTTTTACATACCATTTTGTTTAATGAAATCCCTTCTTCTACACAAGAAATACTCATTAATTATTGTTCTTCGAATTGAATAAGTTTTCTGATACTTTGAAGGCTTGAAATATCGCTTTTTCTTTTAAGTTTTCTTGCTTGTAAAACCACGAGGAGAGGAAGGAGCCGGTGCAAAGACGTCAAAAGCCGAGTTGGTCACGCTGTTTCGTAACGCCGCGTCACGCTTGTCACGCTTTTAGCAACAGATTTTTGCTCAAAAAAAATTAAACGCGTGGCTACCCCCCTTTTTTATTCATCAAAAATATAACAGAAATATTCAAATATTTTTCAATAATGGAATATCTGAAATAAAATGTTTTGGACGCGAATAAAAATAAAAATGGTTTTGGATGCATTAGCGAGCACAAAATTTGGTTTAAGAAATGGTTTCTTAAATGATACATAACGGTTTATATATTTGATATATAGAAAACAACCAGTTGTTTATTGGAAACAAGTTTCAGATAAAATCTATCAAAACAACGTCGAAATTTTTTTTCCTAAAAAATTGCTTACGTCATCGGTGTTTAACGTTAATTATCTCGCGTGGGTACCCCCATTACCCCCCCCCCCCCAGATTCCAGTTGCGTCTTGCATGATTCAAAAGACTGACACAATTAAAAATAAATAAAAATGGTTCGCACTTAGTAGGCACCCTAACTAAAGAATTTAAAACACGCCTATATTCGTGTTTGTAAGCATGGATGCACGTACGCTCGAAGCATGTATGCAAGGAAGGATAGAGAGATGGATGGATTGATGGAAGGTTGATAAATATGATTGTGTTGTAACTTAACAGCACCTGATATGATCTGGTTTCGTTGAAGAATACATGAGCTTCGGCCCAGTAGCCCATTCCCCAACCAGATCGTATCCAAGCCAGGGTTTCGGTGCCATTCACTTTCATATACACTTGAAGACTTGTCATATTGGTTGCGTTGATGAAGTAGGAGAACGTCATACATTTTGATTGATTCATTACTGGACTGACAAGCCTTCCTTTTTCGAATGGTGAATGCTTATCATTGTGAATGTATTTCCCATCGCAGCTGTTTTCTTAAAAAAATAAAAATATTCAAAATGGATATACAATCTAGTGTACGGTAAAAAAGAAAGTTAAAGATAGCAAGTATTTTGTTTTTTCCAGTTACCTCTTGCCTGATGGCATGTTGAACCAAATGAATGGGAGGATATGCTAATCCCTCCTCTTAACCAATCGAAATCATCTAGTTTATCATTGTGCCAGTTGCAGAAGTCAGATCTAAAGTCACAGTTCCCTTAAACAACAAACAATTTATAGGAATTAACGACACCAACTCTATGTTAGACCGATCGACCGCTTAAACGAGCTCAACTATAAAACACATATATGAATATATATAACATTAGATATATATGTCTTTTGTTTCTCTATTCTTTTGTCTTTTGAGAAAAAAAAGACATATGTATACATTTCAAAAGCCATGAATAATTTAATGAGTCTGAACCAATTGGAGCGAACATACGCGTCACGTGCGAGGACCCGATAAAACACTCCTGCTCATTTATTAAAAAGTACATATATACCGTACGGAAAGGTTACGAGAATTGCCACATCGTGTTTCCGATTTTCTGACAAATGTTTTTATTTACTATAAGGAAGCAGAGTATTTTATCGCGTTTTGCAAATCTAGTCCTACAAACCTATGCACAATTCTTTTACTCGCTTCCTTTGAACTTGGAAAATTAAAAAGTATATATATATAAACGGTAAAAATTAAAACGAAACTACGAATTGGCGCCTTTACCTGGATCGACCAATGCGTTCACTTGGCTTATGAAAACCATTGCCAGAATCACTAGTATAAGGCTATATTTGCCCTTGTACAAGCCCATGATCATGAGAGATTGGTATTCCATTTCACTTGAGCTTTTTATTTCTGTAAACAATAGAATGCGTCGCATTTTATTAAAATGATAATACAAAGAAATTTTACAAATGTAAAGCTTTCGAAAAGCTTTTTTTTTATTTCAATAGTGCAGTAGAAATATTAAACTAGTTTAATTTTAGAAAAAAAAGTTTACATATTATCATAACTTAAATTTGATCTTAATGACGTTCACCATTATTTCTATCTTGGATATTCGCCGATGTCATTTTCTCAATGCTCAACATCTTACAGTCATTCATTGTAACTTGCCTGACGAGTGTGATCATCTGATGATCATACGAAACCAGCTAGTCGCAATAAAACAATGGATCATTTATTCTAGTCTTTAACTATTTTATATAAAAATATTTGAGATATAACGCGCGCGCTGATTGGCTGGCTACCGTGTTTATACCAGAGGACAGAGACACGCTCGCGCAAAATCATTCAAAAATATTTTATAAAAGCGATATAAAACGTCCGCTTGTGTCTATATACTGTGATATAAACACTCTGGGARCTGTAGAGCACTCGAGAAGTCAAAGAAACACTTGGCTACGCCTCGTGTTTCTCTACGACTTCTCTCTTGCTCACTAACAGCTCCCATCGTGTTTATATCACAGTATATAGACACGCGCGCCGTTTTATATTCCTAATTTATATATATATATATTGATAATGTTATATTAATATATATAATGTTTAATATAATAATATTCAAATATTTAAATATTTTCTGACCAGGCTCGTCAATCAGAAAACAAATCCTCTAACGCCAATGTACATGTTTTCCTAATAGCAGTATACAAGGTTGGTCAAAAAAGATTAAACGACTATTATATTGATGCTTATATATGCAAACAAATATCTATCTATCTATCTA